TTTTTTTTTTTAATTTTTGTTTTTCCCCCCTTAGAATAGGGTACATGCATGGTTCCTAGCTAATATCATTTTTTTTCTTAGCATAATCACATTTAATATTGACAAAAAATTCTAATTTGTTCTCGGTTTTTCTTCTAGACTCGAGGTTCAGAAAATGTCCAGGTGATCAGTCTTGACTCTTGACCTAATTTTCTTCTCCACTCTCTAGCTAGTAGAAGAAACTGCTGAGCAAGAGAAGCATGCCTTTTTCTCTCACTTTCTTTTACCAGATTTCGGGAAGTAAAAAGAAAAACAAAATGCCATTCGTATCGCATGTATAATTCGAAATGATAAGTTTCACGTGATTTGGCATAGATCCCACAAGAATATATTGAGATCCAAATTCAGAGATTATGAAAAGATGTGTAGAAAATACCCTATATATGCTCCGCTAAACCTAATTGATTCTGCATGCAATTGTCATCCCATTTTCTTGTAGGGGTCCATCCATTCTTTTGACACAATTCTCCTCCTTTCAGAAGGTTAAAAGCCTACAAACCGTCCCGCCTCACCCTAACATAGCCTGAGCCACCTCGCCCCTGAGAATTACAATGCATGCAGTTTCAGGGTCCCCAGCCCGCTGTAGAAACATTGCATGTTAATTAGAAATGGAGATTTTTTTATAAGTAGGAGATTTCATGTTTACAACAGTAGAAATTGAAAATATGGGGAAATTTTTTTTAAATATTGAATAATTATTTATAAAATTATACTTATATGGTATGATATACAATCAAATATATAAATTAAACGTGACGTATATAGGTAAAAATATATGGTACTGATGAATGAGGGTATGGTCCCCGCCGTAGAGTGGGTCTGGTCAGGGGCTACAGCGGTGGCATGTGCTGGACATTATTGGGGGTAATAAGATTTATAGACTGAATTTATAGAGACCATGTAGGTTTCCCTTTAAGCATATTATTGGCGTATGGGAATGGCCGTTGCATGATATTATGTCTCAAGAAAGTTTGCTCAGTCACACTCTCTCCGTCACGTGCCTTCTCCAACACTTTTTTACAAACCCCTAACAGAGAAAACAATAGAATTTTGCTAGGGAAAATAGGTTTTAGAAGACGTAATTACTGCATCATCTTCATTGTGGAGAACAGGATCAAATCCATCGGCTCCTCCAACTATAAAAATAAAGGCAAAACCCAATGTTAATCTCCTAAATTTATTTTAAATTCTTAATTAAATCCTTAAATTTTTATTAAAGCATATAAGTCCTTGAACTTAATAGTCTACGCAATTTAGCATTTTTTGTTTATAATAAACTTAATAATCATTTGTGCTTTACTTGTGTGAACAAGATATTTACATTTCATTGCTTACATGATAAGTATTAATCTTATTCATGCAAATAATATACAAATAAGCATTAAGTATATAGTAATAAAAAGTGTTAAATTGCTCAAATCATAAAATTCAAGCGTTTATTTGCTTTAATAAAAGTTTAAAATTTTAATAAAAAATCTAAAGTAAATTTAGGAGCTTAGCGTAGTTTTGTCATAAATAATTGGTCGGCTAACTAAGAGGCAAGCATGATTTGATCATTACCACTACAAATTTTAAGTCTCGTTTCCTTCAAGCCCAAGCTCAAATTATCAAGGTAGTCTTTATTAGTTGGAATGAAGGAGATTGCAATTGGTCGTACTCTAACATTCTTTTATCTTTCCAAACAGCAAGAAGTCTCATATTGTAAGTTCACATAGCGATTTTAAATGAAAACAAGTGCAAATGGCACTTGGATGCACATCCACGACATGTTTTTTTCCCATTCCCTGCCATACAGCAACTGCCCGCAACTTTATTTTGTGACAATTATGCAGCTTCTTCTTTCTTTTCTTTTCTTTTTTTTTTAAAATTTTTTTTATTTTGAACGGGCAAAAACTTTTTAATTCCTTTGGAATACTTACAAGGGATTACAGTCGACCTATCTCCAGTTGATGCATTGACATTTGATTACTTATGATTCTTAATTTCAATTCATTTTGGTACAATTAAGCAGCTTTAATTTTTAACACAGATAAGAAGGTACCTTTTTATTATTATCAAGAGATCTATGCAATCTTGACACATGTACTACATAATAGTGTAAAAACTTCAAACCAGATTGGTCCATGCGCACATAACAAATATAAGAGAGGGGTTACTCCGGAAAGTGCAAAATTGGAACGATGGAGCCTGCAGTTATTTAATAGTTTATGTTGTGATCTACTAAAAATTAAAACAGTGTGATCCACTAAGAAATGGAAATTGAAGGAACAAATCAATAATCAGTAACAGATCCAAAAATCCATAGTTCCAATCATACACATCAAAGTAAAGAATGCAATTCATACAAATTTTGTAGGAACATGCATGTTGGGAAACACATAAACAAGAGGAAGAAATTAATGAGAATCAGTTTGAAATTTTGATTGAGATTGAAAAATTAACAAAGGTTAAAAAACTAATGTTGATTATCATACCAGGTTGAGGGCAGGAAACAAGATGGTGGCGCCTGAAGGGAGGAGGGGAGGTCGGAGAGGGTGAAGGCGCGGAGAAGAAAATGAATGGTCTGGCTAGGTTAGCGAAAAAAACTGGACCGTCTGAAATTGATTACATATTTTCATTAAAAAAAAATAAATGTCATTTCCCCCTTTTTTTTATGTTTTTTATTTTTTATATGAGTTTGCAGATTGTATTACGTAGTTAAATTATATTAAATTATAAAATAAAAATTATTATATGACATGGATAATTCTAATATCAAGATTCACTCTGATCTGACAGTTTAGAATGTTTAGCACTTTTTGTTTTTATGATGTTTTCTGATGGGCTCCGCAATATAGGTATTATGGCCATTGTCCCAAAACTTTAGAGGCCTCCACGTTTTGTGCGCTAAGAACTGGGTCCGCTGGACACAATCAACGATTGGAGGGATATGGGCTGTAATTATTTGAGTCGGGCTGCATGGCAAAAACAACAGAAGTAATAAGGTAACTTTCCTATTAGTCCTTGTGTATGCATACTGTTAACTGGTTGATCACTGAACTCAAGTCTGCAGTGATTTGGTTCTTGCAATATATTTAAAATAATCAAATGTGGTATTGTACATTTTATTTTATTTTTTCATAAATGGTATGAAAATAATGACTTGAGTTAAATAAAATATTAAGGGTTAAAACCCTTTTTTGGTCCCTGAACTATTGTACGGACCCCCGATTTGGTCCCTGAACTAAAAAAATTCCTGATTTGGTCCCTACTGTTTACAATTTTTACCCCGATTTAGTCCTTCCATTAAAAATTGTATGACGTGATCTGTTATTTCATGGTTACCAAATGACATGTCATGCAGTGATCCACGTGTAAGATAATATAGCCAAAAAGTGATGATGTGGAAAAAATAATAATAT